AAAGCTCATGTTTGTTAATAGAACTCACGTCACCACATACACTGTGTCTCGACATAAAGAAAAGCGACAGAAAACGATTCAAATAAAGTTAAAAAACTCGCGACGTGACGAAAACGTAATGAGAATGCTAATGGCGATTTCAAAAATGCTGAATAAATTAATAGACATATTAATGAAGACACAAGTAAAGAATAGAAGAATAACTAAATAGATGGATAATTATATGAAGAAATAAATAGATTACTTTATTAATAAGCAAACAGACAGACAGACAGATAGATAGACATTCAGAGAGATAAACAGAAAGACAGGCAAGACAGATAGACAGGCAGATATACTGATAGATAGAAAGATAGATAAGTAGATAGATAAACAGACAGACAGATAGATAGACAGAAAAAGAGATAAATAGAATGACAATGAATAACATGTAAAGAATAGAAGAAAAGCTAATTGGATAAATCATAAGAAGAAATAAATAGATGACTACATTAATGAGTGAACAGACAGACAGACAGATAGATAGACAGACAGAGAGATAAATAGAAAGACAGGCAAGATAGATAGACAGGCAGATATACTAACAGATAGAAAAATATATAAGTAGATAGATAAAGAGACAAGGTGACATGTAAACAGGCGTAAAGATGGATAAATACATAAACAGAGAGATTGGTAAGTAAGAAAACATACAGACAAACAAACATGAAATACACATCAAGGTCGTTTCCGCTGAATACATTGCACCAAAAAGCCAAATTATTCCGAGGCACAAACACTTTCTCCAGCTGCACGTAGCCTACAGAGCGCTCCCAGGCCTTGACAGTTGGCACCCTTAGTGGCACCAGCTGGCTCTCGTCAACTCACCGACGCTCACCCACGCTCCAGGCCGCCCGCGTTTCAGGCCGCCCATGTTCCCCTCCCGAAGCCGCCCGCTATACGCATCAGCTGTTTGTCATTGTGTAAGAGACGCCTAGACACGTGCAAAAAATCGTGTACCTGAATGAATAAATGAATATATTTTTACTTACATATCATGCAAGGGACGCATACAGGCACTCTGGCATATATACACGAACACATACATACACACACCACACACACTTTTAACTATAATACATGCAGAGACACACAAACTATATAGAGATTATCTATCTTTCTCTTTCACAAACACACGCACACACACACACACAAACACTCACTCAAACACACACACAAGCACTGCCATCCCTCTCCCCTTTCTCCCCTTCTCTCCCCTACCCCCCAACCCCTCCTCCTCGCCCCCCTCTAAAACAAAAACAAACATTTAAACGAGAAACAACCGAGCGGCGGTCCACCCACCTAGCCGTAATTTGTCAATATCGCGAAAAAGGCGCGTCACCCAGCCGGTCCGCTTAAGACGATCACCGGGAGGGGGGGGGGACTCGACAGGTAAAATGATACTTAAGGAACTCCCTCCCTCTAGGTTGTCTCCCTTCCCCCTTCTCCCCCTCTTCTCCCCTGCCTCCTTCATTGGTGACCTGTCTCCCCTTCTTCTTTGGTTATCTATTCTTCCTTTCCTGTTCCTCCTTTCTCTTCTTTTGGTGTCCTACCGCATTCCTCTCCTCTCCCCTTTCCTCTTCTTTTCATGTTTCTCTCTCCTTCCTTCTCTCTTTTCCCTCCCTCCTCCTTCCTTCTCCCCTTTCCCTCCCTCTCCTCTCCCCTTCCCTTCCCTCCCTCTCCCATTTCCCTCCCTCCTCCTCCTCTGCCTTTACCTCCCTTCTCCCCCTTGCCCTCCCTCCTCCCTCTTCCCTCCTCACCCTTGCCCTCCCTCCCTCTGCCCTCTCCCTCCCTCCCTCCTCTTCCTTTTCCTTCCCTCATATGTGATATTATAAATGTATGTATGTGTGTGTATATATGTATATGTATATATGTATGTATGTATATATTTGTGTTAGTATTGTGTATATATATATATACGTATATGCACATTTGGTGTGTGTGTATATATGAATGTATGTGTACGTAGGTATGTGTGTGTATGTGTAGTTGTGTATATTTATATCTATACATATAATGTATGTCTCTTATGTTATTACTGCCTGTAATTTCCACTAACATGTACAGTCATTCAGTAATTGTATTATTAGTTTACTTATTTACTTACATTATGTCCTGATTTCTCTTTCTTGTTTTCAATGATTGATAGTTCAAGGGGCCTTGCTAAGGGAGCCTCACTCCTGGAGGGCTCAGCCACTAGTGTAGTGTGTTGTATTTTTGTTGATGTATTGTATTTGGCTAAAAAAAAATTATTTGATCTGATTCTGATTGCCTCCCCTCCCTCTCTTTCCCCTCCCTCCCTCTCCCCATCCTCCTCTCCCCTCCCTCCCTGTCCCCCTCCCCTCTCCCTTCTCCCCTTTCCCTCCCCCTCCCTCTCCTCCTCTCCCTTGCCCTCCTCCTCATTCCCTCCGCCCCTCTCCCTCATCTCCGAGCAGAGGACGGCGATATCGTCCCTTGGAGC